TGACACATGTTCTAACCTTAGACTTGTTGATATGTACTTGTCTGGTCTGTGTCCGTGTGCTCTGTCATGCAAACGAAGCACAAACACAGCCTCTTCCACAGACTGTATAGTAACAAATCAGCTCCCGTTAGAAGCTCACAAACTCTTCCACGTTTTCCCTATTTATCTACATTGTAATCAGTTTAAATGAACATAACACCAGCCTGCCCAGGGACTACAGGTGGAAATTAGCAGCTCTGCTATAACCTGCTACATGCATCTCTCCTTTTGTGTTAAAGCTTAACTGTACACTGTCCCTGTTCAAATACAGTACATACAATACATTACAATATTTAAATACAGTTACGTGACGTGTTACACTACAAAGTATAGTAACACAGAAATGTAACATGTCGATTTTTGTCCGAGCACTAACTCCAAAGACTTCTGTCCCGCTCACGCTGCTTCGTAACTGTATTTAAATAGAGAACACGTGGAAGAGTTTGGTAGCTTCTAACGGGAGCTGATTTGGAACTATACAGTCTGTGGAAGAGGCTGTGTTTGTGCTGCGTTTGTGCTGCGTTTGTGCTGCGTTTGCATGACAGACACATACAAGGTACATATCTAGTCTAAGGTAAGAACATGTGTCAGTGTGTAAAAACGGTGGCCTGTTCCTTTAAGATAAAACACGATTGTTTGCATTCACTTTGAGCTGAGAGCTGATGTTCTTCCTGTGTCTGCGTAGGTTTCCTCCGGGTGCTCCGGTTTTCCCTACCACTAAAAACATGCACAGTAGGTCTGAATGTACATGAGAGAGTGAACGGATGGTGTTTGGTCGGAGGCTTTGATGGTCCAGTGTGTTTGGCGCCTCGCTTCCGTCATCCCCGTGTGTGGAGAGAATGAAACAATATCTGAACATTGTAAACCTCTTTTGGTGACCTTGGTCTGTAAAAATGTATGCAAAAAGATGACCAATTACTCACTAACGCCTTTAGAAAATGCCTGATGATTGCCGAAAGGTCTAATGATGACGGTACAGAACTTCTCAATCCATCATCAAAAAATGGAGAAAGTCAGAGCATAAATTTAAACTTCAGAAGTAAAAAACCTTTGGGCACAAACTGCAGTGAAGGAGAGAGCCCCTCCCCCAGACTGACAGGCTGTGGATGAGAACTGATGCATCCATTTGCAGAGTTCCAGCCTGGGTCCACTTGGCTCATGGGTTCAGGATCCCATCAATGCATTTTCGGAACAGCCCACTCCAATATTTTCCGACATACAAGTTAATTATAGTATGTTTCGTGACTATTCGGAACAGAACCTGCACTTTAGTCACTCTTGCACCTCCGTCAACAACACATTATTTTAGATACAGTTCTTATCATTCAAGTCACATTTTACCAACACAAGAGTCTACTCACCTCCGAGTCTTTTTGAGTGGGAAAGGCCGTTTATCTGCTCGCGGCTCGTCATAATTGCCTTTTCTGAAAGCCCTAAATGACAGATAATACCCCTCTCTTCAGCATCTTTGTATCGTTTCTCCCAAAGTGGCCCCGTTCCACTCAAAATTATCAATGATACCTGCGGATAAAGCCGGGAATAAGTGACTCAGTTAACCCAAGCCTCTTATGAAACTAGATGTGAAAGAAGAAAACAGCGTCTTATCATAGCTTTTATTGTTTCCCTTTGGGCTTGCGAGCAGAGCGCTGTTGCATCTGCATATAATAACAGGCGACGCAAGCCCCGCGGATCGTACGGGCTCAGAACAAATGGAAGCAGACAATGTCAAGCCGAGAAGATGGTAGTCATTTAGAGGAAAGTGTCAGGTGTCCAAAAGTTGATTTAAGCAGCTGGGGCGAGGCGTGGATTTGGAGAATACCAATCATAGGCTTCGGGATATTGTCATCCAGGAAATGCAGATTTACTCATAAAAGAGAAGAGGGATAGAAAAGGGTCCGTTTGTCTCTAAAACGCCTCGGAAATTTGGTGAAAGTGCAAACGGAATCTGTCAGAGTTTGGAGCACAAATGGAGTTAGTCGATGGGACATTTTTAGTCGCAACTTAAGACCTATAAGTTAAGGCAGGATTTCTTGCCTCATCGAACATCGGCCCATCTGTTTCCTGCTGGTTTGGTTCTCCTGTAATCCACAGTGGAATAAGAGCAAGTTTGACAGAAATGACCGGTCACAGACAAATATTTTAATGGCAGTCAATGAGTGAACTAGAGTGTGAATATTTACATGCTTTAATTATGAAGGAAATATGACATTAAAAGATCATGACCACACTGCCCCCTAGTGATAAAAATGTGAAAATGCATTGTGTTATATTTACATTAGTCCAACATGGTAGACCCACAGTAAAGAGTGTGATGTTATTATGAGAGAGTTCCGTTAAGGATCGAGCAGAGTGATAATCACGACTGATCTTCTGGCTCGAGGCATTGATGTTCAGCAGGTTTCCTTGGTCATGAACCTCCCAACTAATAGAGAGAATTACATTTATAGAATTGGCCATGGAGGCCGTTTCGGCAGAAAAGGCGTCGACTATCAACTTTGTCACTGAGGAGGACCAGAGGATTCTTCAGGACATCGAGACATTTTACAGTACAACCGTGGAGGAGATGCCCGTGAATGTGGCAGGTCTCATCTGAGCTTTGAGGCAGTGATGTGGATTGCCCACTTGTATTGCCCACTTGTATTGTGTATATAATATTTGACTTTGGATCAGAATATTTGGTATTAAAGTGAGGTGAGCTCTCTTCTGGACGTTGTAGATTCTAGCCTCATTTGTCTGGTTGAGACAAAGCCATGGGGTCGATACACTGAAAAGTTATCAGGTATTATTTTCTCTGGGTTTTCTCTCTGTTGAGTATTCTCCACCATTTAGTTGCTGACTTGTGGACTAAAAGGTATAAGTGCTGTATAAAGTCAGCAAATTATGATATGGTAACGTATGTACGATATACATTTATATATTGTGGGCCTGCTTAAATGTAGACACCTGTCATGTCCCACAGCAGAGTCACTTCCTTTATATTTTGTGAATGTATTCATTTAAGCTTTTTTTTTTAACCCAGCCTGCTTTACCAGGCTTCACTGGTTAAACATGTTTGCTGATGTGGTTTTACCCTCTCCTGAGATGGTCTTACTTACAGACTTGTATGGCAGGCTTAATAAACTATTGGTTGTGTAAATTAAAAATATATATATATTGGAGGAAGCTAGTTGGAAAGAACTTATATTTGCTTGGAGAGATTCACAAAACTAATTTAAAAGTGATATTTATTTTTTTAGAGACGAAAAACAGGTTGGAGATAGATTTAGACACAAGAATGATGGGTTTTGTTTTTGTCGACATGTTACTCATCTAGTCTGAGTCACTGGAACTAAACCAAACTATTTTTTTCATGAGGTAAAATTCTGAAAACCTGGTTAAAAACGAATTTATGGAATTATCTTGATTAATCTATTTTTAAAAAAGGTACATGTTTGAAAGACCTGCAACTAATACCAGATGATTCATACATGTGTGTTGACAGTGTTTCCTTCCCAAAACTTCTGAAAACATGCTAGAACAGGACGTTTATTTTTGTTAACCTTCATGGAAGATATATTTACAATGCAATAACACATTTTTCAACTAAAAATAAACTACATCCTTAATGTTTATACTTAAGCTTTTAACCCACTGGATGCAATTATAACTACACAATAAAAAAAATAAATTAAAAAAAATCCAAAATAACTTAAATTTTACATCAGTCAAGAGGACGTTTTAAATAATGACAAAATAATAGGAGAAAAAAACATATCCCTGTCTTTGTCATCAATACACAAAAGTTCCTCCAAAACATAACACTTACTTGAGAAAAATAATGCATTTTTAGTATTGTGTAAATATGTTGAAATTATAATCTTACATCAACCCGGAAGTTTCAATTTCACATTCTTTGTCATTTCAATCATTAAAACAACTCATTTGGGTTTAAAACTATTCCCAAAATATATTTATCTTTTTAATCACAGTCATCCATTGCCTCTCAGAACACATCGCTGTAGTCTGTTCTTTTCTGTTGCAAAAGATCTGTAGAAAGTGTCAAAATAATACGCACAGGTGGGGTAACACTGCCATCTAGTGGACGGACATAGCAATTACACTCACACTCGCCTTTAGAGCATTCTGTCCACAGCTACAGCAGAAATAAGAGAAATATCTTTGGACACAATGAGACTTGGTTGCCTGGTCAAAATGGATATTTCGAGTGCATTCAGAACTTAGCAGACTTAACCCTTTAGGTCATATTTTGTTCAGAAAAGAAGTTAAAATCAGATCTATAATTAACTGATCTCTACACAAACTCGAAAAGATTAACAAAGAGATGTGGTAATACTTGAAAACAAAATGTAACTTTAATAATAAAACAGTTTTGTCTGGGGATATTGCGATCAGAATGTCCTCAAGCTGTATCCCTTCAACTTTTTTCTATTAAGCGAATATAAAAATATGGTAATTGTTAGATACAGCTCTAATAGAAAGTTCCATGGATTCATTGATCTCAGGGAGCGATTCTGCCACTTTGGTGCATCATGGGTTACGTTGCTATTTTTACCATGTCATATCTTTCTCTGCATTTATTCGAGTCATAGTCTAAGTCACACACATTTCAAATAGAGCATATCAAGTAAATTAGTAATTTAGTGAAATAGGTAGTTTCAAGTAGAACATTTTTTTGTTTCTAAAATACCTTACAACTCCCTGCTCATGTTACTAGCAGATTATATTTTTGGTGTGTACATTGTAAGTTGTATCATTCTACCAGCTGCTGTGCGTATGGCCTGTATCTTAATGATTTGTTTTCAGAATGTAGTCTTACTGTAGGAGGTGGAGTGGGGTCTGAGGGAGCAAACCTGTCCTGTGCTACATGTGCAAATGGGTTGTTTCACGGGGTTTTACCTAAAAAAAATATAAAATAAAATCATTGTTGTTGTATCGGGGGAGCTAAAGTCAGTTTGTGGTACTTTTCCCCGCTTTCATCAGAGCCTTGATGGCGCGGGCTCTCATCTCCAGCTCTAGCAGTTCTAGTTGCTGGATGGAGGGCTGGCAGACCGCTCCTGGGACTGAAGCGGGCGCACTTTGGACCGCAGAAGTTTCCGGGGTTTGGTCCACGCTCGGCGGCGGTAGCGACAGGGGCAGCGATGGCGGCGGCGGCGGTGGTGATGCAGCGACCGAAAAGGCCAGTATCTCACTCACGCTCTTGTCGATGTCACTTTGGATGTCCTTCTTGGGTTTGTGTGAAGGGGCCACGGCGAGGGGCTGCTCTGAGACTGGAGCAGGTCTCGCTGGGTCCGACTCTTTGTTGGCCGAGACTTGGTTCGAAGCGGCGTCTGTAGTTTTCACGCTCGGTTCGACTTTCGGCGCCTCGATGTCGCTGTCGTCCACGTCTGCGTTTATGCTCAACACGTCGCTCTCTTCGCTCGAAACTTCTGCGACAACAATTTAGCCGTCACTTCAAACAACAATGCAGAAATTGTGATTTTTGTGTTATTTAAAAATAGAAATTGAGTGTATACTGTACATATATTTAATCATCATTATTAATATTGAATGATATTTGTTTTTTCACAAATTAAAATACATTGTTTATAATTATTTAACACAAAAAATACTGCAATTATTATGTAGCATGTTTGCTGCAATGATATCAATGTGTTAAAGCTGCACTAACTGACTTTGAGACATTTTCGAATCTGAGCGCTGAGCTCACTCTCTCTGCTCGCCCTGACCGGACGGAGCTTTCGCCACACTTTTGAACATGGAGCACAGAGGAACGAGACTTTCTTTTGTCTGTTTCTCTGAGTGAGCAGTAACCAGTAACGAAGACACAAGTTTCAGGTTAGCCTCCGCCGCTTGTTTACCTCCGCTGTCTGTGCTAACCCCAGACCTGAGGCTTTTCTCAAGAGAGTGGGGGCCAGTGGTCCGCTGTGATTGGTCACAATCTGGACCCGAAACACATTCTCTTCCTTGTTTCTCAAAAACTCAATCTAAAATAAAATGACACGCCAGCACAAATCTGCGCTACTTATTCTTCAAAAGGACGTTTATCCCAAAGCACTGCACGGACATGGGTTGGATTTAACTAATGAATATGAAAATAAAGTCAGTTAGTGCAGCTTTAAAGTTACATTACTATGTCAGTGTAAGACCAATCTATTAGAAAATGAACCAAAAAGTACAGACTGAAACTGTAAGGACTTGTAAATGGGTAAAATGTTTAGAAATGGGTTTAGGATTGTATAATGGTTTAAATTGTCACATTTGTTTCACATGTATTATTTTTGGGGCCCTGTCTGTAAGCTAATGCAGCTTCCTGGGAGTTCCCTTTCACAAAACACCAACCAACTCTACATCATGAATGTGTATAACTTGTATAACTATAAGTTTTGTAAATAAAGAATTGAATTTAATCTTTAAACATACAGTTATTTTTGAAGTATTATTTTAAAGATTTATTTTAACAGTTGACATGAATATTTCTTGCAGGTGTTAAAATTCAGAGAGATTTTCCAGTTAAAACATAAGTTACTGCCGGTTACTTACCTTTAGTTTCTTCACTTTTTGCTACGTCTTGGGGGAAAGATGTTGAATCCACAATGTTGTCTTGCCTTTGTATGAAAAAAAAAAACATTGAATAGTAAAGAAAAACAATAAACCGTTACGAGTATAAAAGGTTGTATCCACTCACTGGCTTTCCACAGACTCCTGCGTCGCTTCTGTGGAGGACGTCAACTCTTCCCCTTTTAGAAGAATAGAAAAACATTATTTGCGAAGTGAATATGTCTCGGATCAACCTGAACGGTGCTGAAGTTACCTGTGAGGACCTGGAGTAGATTTTTCTCAGAGAGGTCTTCCAGTTGCTCCCAACACAACTTTTGAACTTCATCTATACTGAAATCCTGAAATAGTTTCCCAGTTAAAAAACATTGGATCCCATGTTATGCTTTGTTCATTTTCTCTGCTTTAAAACATCATTACAGCGCTATTTGGCCTTCATACACATGCCCAAGGTCGGTTTTTCATGGAATTTCTTTCTGAATTTGGGAAAGATTCAGTTACTTCACACGGCCGTTTTTACACAACAGAAAAAAATGAATATATCACATTGCACTTTTGTCTGTCTTCTTCAAAGGGACAGAGGTGAGGGGTAGTAGGGGACTTAAGGTGGAGCTTGTGGTCTTGCTTCTTATATAGTATAGATTGAGCTGCAACTAAACATTACATACAAACCTTATTATTAATATAAGGCCATGGGGGGTCATAGATTATAATATTATAGAGAAGAGAATTTGGTTATATCCCCTTTAAAAGAATTCAGAATGAAACCAATATTTTCAAAAGCTCGTCATACAAAGTCATACATTTCAGAAGTCCATAATAAACACGTCACCTTGAATTCGTCCGGCAGCATCTTGCGTAGTTTCTTTTCTCCCAGGACACGGAAACTCTGCTGCAGCATTTCCTTCTTGTCTGAGACGAAGGCTATGATTGGCTGAAAGTCCACGGTGAGGTCGAGTCCTCCTTCTTCAATGTCACTGCCGATCCGGTCCAGCTCTGCATCAGCCAGGTCATCTTTAGACTCCTGCTGGAACAGACATGCCCCACTGTCAAATCTAACTCAAACAATGTAAGAGAGGGGTGTCCAAACCGGTCCAGAAAAGGCCGCTGTGGCTGCAGGTTTTCTATCTAACAGGAGCAGAGTAGACTCCACCCATTTCCTCAAATCTTCAGATTAAGACCATAGACTGTATATATTAACGGACAGAGTCACGCCTATCTCCGCCGTTCTAACTGATGGGCCAAAAAATGTGCTCTACTGGAGCAATCCAAAATGGCCGCGAGTGGTAGTAAGTAAGTAGTAAGTAAGCTTTATTTATATACCGCCTTTCACAGACCAGAGTCTCAAAGCGGTTTACAATTGTTATTTTTTGGGCACTTGTCCTCTCACTCCACACAGAGATGGGAGCGGGGCCGCCGAACAGGAGGCGCATGCCAGAACTATTGTACATATTTTTAGTGGTAGGGGAAACCGGAGTACCCGGAGGAAACCTACGCAGACACGGGGAGAACATGCAAACTCCACTCAGAAAGGCCCTGGTCCGGCCGGGATTCGAACCCAGAAGAAAATTGTGAAAAAACGCATCTGCGCATGCGTCACCCGGCGCAGCTCCATTCATTTGAACGAGAGACTTCAAAAATTCACAGCAAGTAAACCAGAGTGGACCAGAACACTCCCCTCAGCATTGACACATGTGGAACGGAGCTTTGGGCCAAGAGACAACTTTTGGACCATCCTGTAAAGACGTTTGAGAGGTCTGCCAATGCTATATGTTAGCATTGGCTAATTCTTCTCCTGGGTCCACCCCCACAGGCCCGGGGTGGTATTGCAGCATGTCAGCGCACGTCATTTTGGTCACTTTTGAGCCGGGACCCGCCCACACTGGTTAAGACTGAACTCTCTTGAGGAAGTGGGTGGAGTCTGCTCTGCTCCTGTTGGGTATGATAGAAAACCTGCAGCCACAGCAGTCCTTTCTGGACCGGTTTGGACACCTCATGTTGTGTGTAAAAGACTAAAAGCCTTATCCTGTCAAATCAACAATTATGTCAGTTATTCTTCTAGAATACATATCAATTTCCATCAATCAGGAGTTGCTAAAAATCACCAATATACCGAAGCTGGCCACTTCAGTTTTAGTGTTAAAAATACATTTAGTTTGCCAACATAAAGAGTCTTGTTACTTTAATAAAAGTTCTGTGAACCAATTACCACATGATGTGTCAAAACAAGTCTACATAATGAGAGGTTGTTTCTCGCTTCTTTCTGTTGGAAAAGCTCCATGCATGTGATGAGAAAACTAGTGACAGAATAGAATCAGTTTTTAGAGCTAGGAAGTAGTTACATGGATTTGTTATTTATTTAAAAACATGTGATCAGCTACTTCAATCTGAAAAGTGGAACAATAGCTTTCAGACATCAGTTCTCAGCCCAAAGAGTCAAATAGTGACAGGGCTCTTCACAAACATTACATTATATTACATTTCTGTTCAGACAAACACCATGTTTTTGTCGGATTTGTTCACATTTTAATTTTACTTAGACGCTTTCTCTTGATATCCTTGGAATAAATAAAATAACACAACAGTATATATTTGTTAGTTATATAAATTCAATCTACGTGTATAACATTGGTAATTTAAACAATCTCAGTGTACAATGTTATATACACATTGTTGAATAACACAGAAACCGCCTGCGCGTTTTATTTTGATTATGAAGCCTTTTATTCTTCTCAAAAACCTGTCAACTCGACGTAAACAAACCACATTGCTAACGTTAGCTAGCTGTGCGCGTGCTCCACGGTGCTAACGTTAGCTAGCTGTGCGCGTGCTCCACGGTGCTAACGTTAGCTAGCTGTGCGCGTGCTCCACGGTGCTAACGTTAGCTAGCTGTGCGCGTGCTCCACGGTGCTAACGTTAGCTAGCTGTGCGCGTGCTCCACGGTGCTAACGTTAGCTAGCTGTGCGCGTGCTAACGTTAACAGACCTCCACACTGGCCTCGGCGCTCCTCTTCTTCCTCCCCTCCTGTCTATCCTCTGGAGCGGAGTGTTTCCTCTTCTTTTCGCCGCTGCTAGTTTTCTTTTTCAACATTTTTATGGATTGTTTTCAAATGAAAGAAATACTGAACTGCTTCAGGTGTCGCAGGCATATGACGTCACACACATGCGCCGAAGGGGTGAAAATTGAAGCTGCAAACACTGCCTTCTACAGACGGGCTACCAGGTTACAGGTAAAGACGTCAAACATGTGATATTTATATACACTTTACTTGTATGTTTATCATTATACACAATACAACCTTTCAGTTTAAATTTGGGGTAATTTTTGTATTCACTTTTGTCTAAATTAGTAGGCCTAGCTAAGTGAAGATGAGCAGGGATTTGCACATGATCTACTTCCTCTCTTTTGATAAATTCATGATACAGTCTGATTGATAATTTTAATATTATCAAAATTTTAGGTTGACTTGATTTGAATTAAAGATATTTGTCTGCTAATTATCATCACAACGGTGCCAAAGCCATTCCAAGTCTGTGACCGCCTGTTACTTACGTGGCAATAAAAATGATTCTGATTCAATTGGATTATTCTTATTTGGTCTAAATGTGTTTTAGGCTGTCACAGTTTTTAATACATGTGATGGAGCCTATATTGTTTTGGTGTGGTGCTGTCTATGGTGTGGTTCTGTGGATCAGTGGAAGCGTATCCATATATATGTGGATGCATTTTGGAACCGGTGGAACTTGCTGCAGAACCAATCATTTTTTCATAATGAAATGGACAAGTTCTGGAACGTAAGTTATTTTGCCACTACTGCTACATGTTTCTTCAATCAAGTTTCAATCAAGTTTATTTATAAAGCACAATTCATGCAGTGCAGCCCAAAGTGCTTCACAAGAACACAAGATCATACACATTTACAAACATTTTAAAACACATAAAACATAATATAAAATAATAACAAAAACAATAATAATTGTTGCATAAAAATAAACATTTCAAACTGAATTTCAGAATTAAAAACGGTATAAAAAGCTCAAAATATAAAAGTCAGTCATATACACCGCTAAAAAGAACGGTTTTCAGCTTAGACTTAAATAATGCTAAAGATGAGGCCTCCCGTACATTCTCAGGAAGGCTGTTCCAGATTTTTGGGGCATACACCTGAAATGCAGCCTCTCCATGCCTAGTCCTGACTCTGGGAACCATCAGGAGTCCAGTCCCTGTGCTCCTCAGAGTCTGAGTTGGTTCATACGGCACCAACATGTCACCAATGTACTTCGATGCAAGACCATGTAGAGACTTGTACACAAGTAAAGCTGCTTTAAAATCAATTCTCTGAGCCACAGGAAGCCAGTGCAGAGACCTGAGGACTGGACTAATGTGGTCGTACTTCCTGGTTCTAGTCAGGACTCGAGCTGCTGCATTTTGGATATACTGCAGCTGTTTTACAGCCTGTTTGGACAGACCTGTGAGCAGGCCATTGCAGTAGTCTTATCTACTAGTGACAAATGCATGGATAAGTTTTTCCATATCTGATTTAGACAACATATTTTTAATTTTGGCAATATTTTTTAGATGATAGAAGGCTGCTGATGTTATAGATTTTATGTGCCTATCAAATTTAAGGTCAGAGTCCATTACTACCCCAAGATTTCTTACTTCATTTGTTGGTTTTAAGGAGAGAGACTGGATGTAACTGTTAATACTTTCTCTTTGTTTTTGTGGGCCAAAAACAATAACTTCAGTTTTATCTGGGTTAAGTTGAAGGAAATTGTTTTGCATCCACTCACTGATCGTTTGAATGCACTGGCAGAGGGAATGTATTGGTCCATATTCCTCTGCAGTAAGTGAAACATATAATTGGGTGTCATCTGCATAATTGTGATAGGACACATTGCTTCTGTGGATTAGCTGGCCTAGTGGCAGCATGTAGATATTAAATAGGAGAGGCCCCAGGATTGACCCTTGGGGCACTCCACATGTCAGTGCCATATGATCTGAAGCACAGTCTCCTATTTCTACAACATACATTCTGTCCTGCAGGTAGGACCTACACCAATCAAGGGCAGTACCAGAAATACCCACCCACTTTTCCAGTCTCTCCAAGAGGATTTCATGATCAACCGTATCAAAGGCCGCACTCAAATCTAATAGAACTAACACTGAAGTGTTCCCGGCATCAGTGTTCAGTCGAATATCATTAGTCACCTTTATTAGTGCAGTCTCAGTGCTATGGGACGGTCTAAATCCAGACTGATGCACATTGAATATGTTGTTGACTAACAAAAAATCCATGAGTTGTTGATGAACAACTTTTTCAAGTATCTTTCCCAGAAATGGCAGATTTGAAATTGGTCGATAATTTTGCAGTACTGTGGCATCAAGACTGCTTTTTTTGCAATATACAACCTGCTGTATATTTTCAGAACAACAGAGTACAATAATCCCCTGAAAGCCTGGTTTAGTATATTATTATTGTTTGTACTGAGCAGAAGCATATTTACCAGTAAAATGAAATGTTGTGACCTCTCAGACACCAACACTACTTTCCACTTCAAAGCCCAGTACTCGAGACGACAGCAGCTTCACACAGTCAAGACCTCTTCACCATCTGCTGCAGCAAACACAATAGGCCTATTAGATGCTTCATATCATACTGACGTGCCATCTGCATAAAAAACACCAGGATAATGGTTTTCATTAACTGCATGTACTGTATAATAACCCGGGTCACACATGTTTACACCACACCGACAAGCAGCACATCTGGATCTTACGGGAAGTTATAAATGAATGGAATATTTTGTAGTTATAACTCTTATGAAACACATGTCACGATAAACATGTGATGTGAAGATACCCCAGAAGGCAATCCATCAATCTGTATTTTTTTAGAGCGCCTTTCCTTCACAGTCCATATCACACAAGGCAAAAATCATCACATAAAACAAACACCAAAATCACCATTAAAACATTAAAACCAATAAAAAAAATTCAATGTATTATACATTTTATCGCACACACAAGGTAAATGTCCTTCTAAAAGCATATTATTTATTTTGTGATATATTTTATTTTTTTCTGATTTAATAATTACATAATACAAATTTGAGCAAGACGGTGGCGAAGAATCTGGCTACAGATTCAAGATGTTAGCGTTTTTCAGATACATTTGTTTCAATAAATGACTATAATTGAATAACCTTTAGGCTAAATTACCTTTAAAAAATACACACAGCAAACAAATCATTTATGGGTTTGACTCTGGGGTGTTGCAGGGCCTTTCTGTGTGAAGTTTGCATGTTCTCCTCGCGCCTGGAAAGATTTCTTCTGGGTGCTACGGTTTCCCCTACATATAGAAACATGAATAGATACTAATACTTACTTATTCCTGGGCCAATCAACATGAAACATTGTCCTCTTTGTCAGCACATAACTATGGTCTAATTAATGTTGGACTTACAAGTACAAATAAACCGGAGCACCCGGAAGAAACCTACGCAGACACGGGGAGAACATGCAAACTCCACTCAGAAAGGCCGTGTTCCTACGAAGGTACAAACCCAGGACCTTCTTGCTGAGAGGCGAGGGTGCCATCCACTCAGCCCCCGTGCTGTCTGTCTGTCTGTCACATGCAGTTATACAGAAGCCCTGAATCCAGATTAAATTCTCTTTGCAGACTTTTTAACGGAAGCTTTATAACTCTTTGCTTCATGTACTGTACACAGATGCATTTAGGTCTGAAAACGAAAGGTGTGAATAAAAGTATCAAAGTGTTGATTGAGGCATATGTGCTGTGGTTAGAAACGTATGTGCCGATTTGACACGCCACTGTTTTGTGCGGAAATAAGGAATGCTTTGAAAATTGAGAATGTCACATAAAACTGCTCTATTCACAATAATTATGCTTAACAATGCCTCCGCGCTGCAACAAACGGGTGTAATCGCAATCACATGTAAAAAATTATTTTAACATAATGTGTCAATAAAGTATCTGTCTGTCTCTCTGTCTGTCTATCTAGATATCTGTCTGTCTGTCTGTCTGTCTCTCTGTCTGTCTGACTGTCTCTCTTTCTGTCTGTGTCTGTCTCTGTCTGTGTCTGTCTCTCTCTCTGTCTGTCTGTCTGTCTCTCTGTGTCTGTCTGTCTGTGTCTGTCTCTCTCTCTGTCTGTCTGTCTGTCTGTGTCTGTCTCTCTGTCTGTCTCTCTGTCTGTCTGTCTCTCTTTCTGTCTGTGTCTGTCTCTCTCTCTCTCTGTGTCTCTCTGTCTGTCTGTCTGTGTCTGTCTCTCTGTCTGTCTGTCTGTCTCTCTGTCTGTCTGTCTGTCTCTCTGTCTGTCTGTCTGTCTGTGTCTGTCTCTCTGTCTATCTGTCTATATCTGCATACATTCTATAATAGCTTGTCATTTATAGTAATACCTAGAGTGTTTTATGCTACCAACACAAAATAAAAGCAGAAAAGCACTCGTAGAGCACAAACCTCCACCAAAATGCACTGAAATGTTACTGACAATGTGATAAAATAACTCACAAACAGACCCTGGTGATTACAATATCCTTGTCAGAGGTAGTGTATAGCTACTGTATACAGATGCAGTAAATTCAAGGATTAAGATTCAAGGATTGATTTGCCCTTTTGCAGTAAAACCCCCTTGGAGAAACTCATGACTGAAAATACTACTCAAAGTGCTTTACGTCTGCTTCGTCCCACATGTGCAAACTCAGACATTTGGGTTTCTCAGACAACCATTGTACTTCTACTCTAATAATACAACAAACAATATCTGTCTGTGAGTGTCACGTCTCCGCTGCTGCTCAAACTCCCTCAGCTTCTTCCTCTTCCTCTCACCTGTTTTGCTGTTGTTAAACCTGAATACTAATCCTCTCCTCGGTGACGCAGCTGATCTGTCTGAGCTGAAACTTAGACAAGGTCGATGTGCCGCTGTATATAAAGCCATGGACGCATATTGAAAGTCTGTGTGTCGTGTGGAAGCAGCGGGCCGTGACGTGATGAGCAGACGCCCACACTGAGCCCAGAGAAGAGCCAGAGAAGTTTGGGCCGAGACAAAAGTTAAACAGAACCGTCTCTC